CGGCGCTGGGCAGCCCCGCATATGGTCGCGGGGGTGGCCCCACCGGGGCGCTGGAGAGGAGCCCTGAGTCGGGGGGCGGCGAAGAGGGGGGTGATGATTATAGGATTAGGGGGGGGGAGGGAGATCGTGGTGGGGGCCATGAGAGCTCCCCAGATCTCATGGCGCCTCTTCTTATTCCCAAAGGTTCCCGCCCCCCCCCCTGGGCCGCGCACGTCCCGCCGGCCACGATTTGCGCCCCCCCCTCTTGGACTCCCACCTCCTGGGCCGCCCCCGACTGAGGCCGGGGCCTTGCATCTCTTTCACGCTGGGCGTCGTCGCCGGGTCTCGGGGCCGAGGGACCCGCTGGGCCACGCACGCGCACCTTGAGATCTTGGCGCTGCAATCTGTGCATACCGGGCGCTTCCGCCCCGTTTCGGGCCCTGGGGCCCTCACAGAGCGATCTGGCTCGGAGAGTGGCGCAGAGAGATGGGCCCGGGGCTTCGTGACTCGTCTGCGATGCTGCAAGTGCTCGCAGCGCCGGAGCTCACAGGAAGCGTGGTTTTTCGCCGACGTGGCTTTGGGTGCGGGCCCTCAGGGCCCCCCCCCCCGCCCAGGCAGTAGGGGCTCCCCCCAGCACTGGCCTGCACGCTTGGATTCGGCGCCCCCGCGGCCCCCCGAAGCAGCGCACCTGGGGTCACTCCTGCCCAGGATCATTGTCGCGCGTAGTCGACCCTGACAGATCGAGCCCGCTCGAATGATGCCGTAGACAAATGAGCGGCGCAAGAAAAAAAAAAAAGGGTTCGGTTACGCGGGCATGGGCGCGCAAGCTGCCCGCGTGAGGTCTTGCATGAGCGCCCTCGTTTCCGGTGTGGCGCTCCGTGCTGGCGGCCCGCGTGAGGTCGCTATGCCACCTCGCGCAAGACCCGATTCTTTCCGTCGCTCAGACGGGTTCTATCGGGGCTGGACAGACCTCCTACCCTGACACGTCGATTGAGGAATTGGCCGCTTTCGGTTCGCGAGAGGGCGTCGCGGCCGTCATTTTTGCGGGTCCAGGTCCGTCGGTTTCGGTCCCAGGCCGTTTTCACTAAGGGGAGGTCTATTAAAGGGAGGTTTGTCCACCGCCGATTCTAGGGTAAAACAGTCCAGGGTTCGCTGGGGACTGGCTTCCTCTCAAAATTGCGGAAGGCCTCCCGGAACCCTCCGAAGACCCTCCAGGAAGGGTCACGGGAGGCTTCTCGGAGGGTGTCGGGCGGGTTCTGGAAGGGCCTCCGTCGCTTGGGGGGGGGGGGGGGCAACCAGTCACTGGCGGACCCTGGGGCGTTCTAATTCTAGGGCCCGTTGTAATTCTTCACGGTGCTGCCAGTTTGCCTGCTCCCCGCCGCCTTCCAGCCCGGCCTCGCGTGCCCCGCCGGCCGGCTGCTCCGCGGCCCCCCTGCCGCAGAGCGGCCCCCCACGCGGGGCCCAGCTGCTGAGGCACGGCCAGCCCGCACGGCAAGGAGGAGCGACTGACCAGGATATCCCCCGTCGGTCGTCGAAAGCATGCATCTGGGGGATTGTCGGATCCCAATCTGCTTGAGGCGCCCTCCTGCTTCAGTGATCGGGTGGTTTCACCTTTTCAGGGGGCGGGCGGAAGCCCAATCTACTCTTCACGCCTTCCTACTTCATGTCTCTACCCACTTCTTCCGACCGACGGCCACTGACCCTTGCAGCCTCCCCCTTCGGCCCATCCTTGGCCGCTTTCGCTGGCCGCGCCCCGCCCGCGAAGTGCTGACATGGCGCTCCAAGGCCCTTCTATCCTGACAGTCGGACCCAGGTATGAGATCGAGGTCGCTTCGGGGAGGGTACCCTCATGCTCGTCGCGTCTGTTGGGTACTCTTGCGCATCCTGGGGGGGTACCCTTGGATGTTCTGTGTGTTTTGGCCGGCAGAGGGTCTCGCGTTCTTGAAGGATGGTCTTCTGCCTTAGGTCCGGCTGTATCGTCTTCTCCTCCTCCTCGGTTCCGTCTTTCTCCTCCTCCACCGCCTTCTCCTCCTCCTCCTTCTTCTGCTACTCCTCCTCCTTCTTCTGCTACTCCTCCTCCTCCTCCTCCTCCTCCTCCTCCTCCTCCTCCTCCTCCTCCTCCTCCTCCTCCTCCTCCCCCTCCTCCTCCTCCTCCTCCTCCTCCTCCTCCTCCTCCTCCTCCTCCTCCTCCTCCTCCTCCTCCCCCCAGGTCCGACTGCATCGCGCGCCCCTCCCGTGCAGGTGGGCCGCAGCTCGTCGGCGGCCGCGGCCCCTCGCGCCTCTCTCGCCCGGGGCACGGCTCCCCGGGCACCCCGCCCCCCGCCGCGGCTCCCCGGGCGGGGGAGGCTCTCGAGGAGAGCTGCCCCAGGGGACGGCCCAGCAGGGGGCCCATCGGCCACGCGCAGAGGGGGGCAGGGTGAAGTCGGGCCTGTCCCCCATACACGGGGATGTTTGACGAAAATTTGTTTTAAAAAATACCCCAAAAATAGTCCAAAAAATAGTCTGGGGACTAGTTTTTGAGTATGGTTTGACCTGTTTGGTGTATCTTTGCTGTACTTGTTCATTTGTCGTCGAAAAGTCCCCTGTAGGGGGACACGCCCGACTTAAGGGTAGGGCAAGCTAGGTGCGCTGGCGTCATATCTGACGTCCTACCCCTCCCTCCCATCCCTTACCATGGCGTAGATCTCCTCTCTACTCACACAGTCGGATGCCGAGCAGGGCAATGATCGCGAGAGGGTGCGCGATGCATCGTAGAGCACAGCATGGCACGGCGTAGAAAAGCACGGCAGAGCGTAGAATGTCAGGGGGGGGGGGGGGAGGCTTCTTAGAAGCAGCCTCCTTCTAAGAAGCCTTCCCCCCTCCCCTCTACACCCTTGTGCGCGCCGCCGAGCCCCTCTGACACGGCCTCCCCTGCGGCACCGGGGCAGCTTCGCAGATTCATCATTCATTGGGCACCAACGACTGGGTACGGAAAGTATGGGTGCGATGCCCAATAGCACTTCCTGTTCATCCTGGGCAGGACTCGCTGCCCGCGCCGCCGCGGCTGTTGTTCAGTAAAGACGGAAGGCCGCCTAAAGACGGAAAGCCGCCTGCCGGACAGCGGCCGCTGCCGATTTGGGACAACATTTGTTGTTGGGCATCGTACCCATGCCGATTTGGGACAACATTTGTTGATGTGGGACAACATTTGTTGTTGTTTGTTGCCGCGGACGTTGTTCAGTAAAGACTGAAAGCCGCTTGTCAAACAGCGGCAGCTGTCGATGTTGGACAACACTTGTTGTTGGGCGTCGTGCCCTTGTTTTCCGTACCCATCTCGGGCGTCCAATTCCATCGGCGGCGAGCGAAGGGGGGACATGAGAAGGAGAAGGCTTTCTCAGAAGGCGGCGGGGCGTCTCAGAAGGCCTCCAGCGCCTCCAGCCCTCTGTCCGGCCTTCTGAGAGGTCTCTGTCGCGTCTGCGGGGAAGGCTTGGAAACTTCTCAAAAGGCTGGGGGACTTCTGAGAGCCTTCTGAGAAGGCCTCTCCTTCTCCTCAGTTCCCCCCCCCCCTCGCTCGCCGCCGACTTCGTGCTTCCATGGCACGCACGTGCACATGCAGTACAGGTGGTGTGTTGACTTCGGGCCCCGAAGGGGCGCATCCGGGCGACTTTTGCGCTGCTAAGCCATACAGAAAAAGACACGGGAGAAGCAGTGCCTTACTCCTCCTCCTCCTCCTCCTCCTCCTCCTCCTCCTCCTCCTCCTCCTCCTCCTCCTCCTCCCCTCCTCCTCCTCCTCCTCCTCCTCCTCCTCCTCCTCCTCCTCCTCCTCCTCCTCCCCCTTCTCCTCCTCCTCCTCCTGCAGCATCGCCGCCTTCAGGGGCCATGCGGTGTCAGGGGCTCGTGGAGGCCCACGGAGCTAACCGTCTGCGTGGTGGGCCCGCGGCCTCGGGGGCAGCAGTTGTTCAGTGCGGATGTTTGCGTGTGTCTCTCTTGCTCGTTCGCATCTCCCTTCCCATCCTCACCATTGCCGCTGGTCCTTCGCATCCCCCGCCGCCTCCTCCTCCTTATCCTGATCCTCCTCCCCATTACTTCTTTCCCTCCTCCTCATTGGCATCTTACCTTCCCTCCTTGCCTTCTGCCCCTCCTACTCCACACCCCCTGCTAGCCTCTTCCCGCCGAGGACGCCACCGCAGCGGCAACTGTGGCTGGTGATGATGGGGCAGAGCCGGCTTCGCCAAGGGACTCGCCAGACACGATCGCAGCCCCAGACGAGCCCCCAGCTGAGGCTCCGCGCTGCTGCCGCCGCTACCGAAGGCACGTTTCGAGAAGCCTCCGTGCCAGATTGCGACCGCGAGGTTGTCGAGAGATCGGTGTTGCATACGATCCTTCATCCTGTGGAGTGGCACAGCGTCGATTTGTTTGGGGCGGCGGGCCAGTTTGCAGACCAGTCCTTAGCGCGTGAGCTGAGTTGCTGAGCCACCTGGTTCAGCAGGACAAGGGACAATACAGTAGGGGTCTTGAAGAAGGAACCCTTTTCGTTGGGGAGGGGCTCGGTGTTCCTTGATTGTTTCAAAGTGTGCGTCGGGTTCTCCGGAGGTTTTCCATAGGAAATCGAGGTTGAACTTATGGGGAAAAGGGGCCTCGTTCCTTATTTAGGGTTCCTTAGGTCAAGGCCTCGACTGTACCCATTTCCCAACGACATTTCCGGGATGTTCGGCCCCAGCGTGCCGCACTCATCCGCAATGTTTTGATAGGCCGCAGGTGTGTTCGCATGCTCGGACTCGGAGGTGCGCCTCAAGGCTGGAAATGCGACCGCGAACGCTGCTGGGCTTGGCTGGCGCAATGCGACCTGGCCAGATCAGACGAAACGACGAGGCTGGGTAGTCGAAGGCCAGACTGTCAGATTGGATTGGGCCCCAAGGGCCAATCTGGCCTGGCCAAGCTGGACGATTTGGGTGATTCGCCAGACTGGATTTGCGTCGGCTCCCTCGCCAGATTGCCCCCGTTTGCCAGATTGGGCCTGCCAGATTGGCGCCAGATTGGCTTCGACTATCCAGCGAGGCGGAAACAGCAATAGACGAATGAATATGTACACAAGCACAAACTGTGGAAGCTCCGCGCGGATGTCTCGGCTCTGCGCTGGGACCCCCCGGCGGTTCCTCCGGCGCCGCCCCCTGGCGCGCTCCGCGCGCCGGGGAGATGGGGGGGACCAGCGCCGGCCCAAGAGATCCACGCGGACTTCCAAAAGTTTAGGCTCGTCCAGCTTGTTCGCGCTCCGCGCGCCAGTGAGAAGGGGGGGGGCCTGTGCCGATCCAAGAAACCCGCGCGGACGTCCAAAAGCTTATGTCTGCCTGGCTTCCTGCTGCTCCTCGAAGGTCGGGGGCGAGGCCCCAGAAGCCTGCGCGGACTTCCGAGAGGTCGTGTCCGTCCAGCGCTGTGTCGCTCCTCGAAGGTCAGGGCGAGGCCCCAGCTCCAATTGGTGTGGGCTTTCAGTGGCGAGGCCGAGATTGAGAGGAGGAGGAGGGGGAGGGGGAGGGGGAGGAGGAGGAGGAGGAGGAGGAGGAGGAGGAGGAGGAGAGGAGGAGGAGGAGGAGGAGGAGGAGGATAGGGGAACGAAGAATGTCATAAACATAATTATTCGGAGGTCCGCGCGGATTTTCTCGGATCGGCGCTGGACCCCCCCTCCCTGGCGCGCGCCGGAGGCGCCGCCAGGGGGCCCCAGCGCCGATCCGAGAATCCCGCGCGGACCTCCGAGTTGTTATGTTTAGGTCATTGTTCGTTCCCTTAGAGGCAGACCTTCGGACGGGGAGCCGAATTGCCGATAGTCACTCGCGGAAGGCCCCCTGGCGGGCGGCGAGGGAGCCACGTGCGAGGCTGCCGTTTCCGCTGCGAGATATCGCAGGCGCCTCCCGTGCGGCCAGTCAGACGAAGCTCAGAGCGAGGTCGTGCAAGCAGACGGCTTGCTGAGTTGGGCGGTGCATTTTTATTGTTGAATAACTGTTGACTCCTTCTCCTCCTCCTCCTCCTCCTCCTCCTCCGCCTCCTCCTCCTCCTCCTCCTCCTCCTCCTCCTCCCCATTCCCGTCCTCCCCCTCCCCCTCCTCTCCTCCTCCTCCTCCTCAGCCTCCTCCTCCTCCTCCTCCTCCTCCTCCTCCTCCTCCTCCTCCTCCTCTCCTCCTCCTCCTCCTCCTCCTCCTCCTCCTCCTCCTCCTCCTCCTCCTCCTCCTCCTCCTCCTCCTCCTCCTCCTCCTCCTCCTCCTCCTCCTCCTCCTCCCCTTACTGATCGCAGAGAGTTGTAAACCAAACTGGTGTGTGTGTGTGTTGTTCGTTGAGGTGCTCGTGCATATTGCGTGCTGCTCCGCCACACCGGCACAGTACGATGACGATGGGCTGAGCACCGTTCGCGCCACAAGCGAACGAGGCAGGGTTCGTTGTTGTGATCTCTTTGGCGCCACAGCAGTGATCTCATGGCACCAGCGCTCACGATTCATGAGGCCAAGGAGATGCACAGCTCAGTGAGACGCGGGTGGGCCTTGAGCCTCGCCTTCGATGTCGGGATGTCCGCTACCTATCGCCCCTGCTGCTCCAAAACAAGACGAGCTTCCAGAATAGAGTTGCGTTCGGCCCATATCGCCACCGTGCCTGGGTTGTGCGACTGGGCCATATTAGAGCCATATTGGGCGATGCTTGAGGGCCCGATCTTGGTGGCCGCTTGGGCTCCAGTGGGTGGGTGCTCTTTAGACAGACTGCCACATTCGCACGAGAGGCTCCTGAGCCCGCCCCCAGGGCGCCCAAGACGACCCAAGAAGGCCCCCAGACAGGCCCCCTGGGCACTCATGGCACATATGAGATGCGTCTGTTCTAACCGCTGTTCACTTGCCACGGGAAAAAAGTCACAGTGCAAGCCTCGAGAGCCCACAAGAGCCGCTGGGAGCGCTTGGGAATCGAGTGCCCGTGGCTCTCCTGAGCCCCCCGATCCTCTTACGCCGAAGACCGCGAGGGACCTGAGAACACTCCACTACATGCCAGATGCGCGGTGGCTCGCTGTGGCGCCAAGACAGATATATGATGGAACCACCAGCCACGTCGCATTCATATGTGCAAATCAAGCTCCCAATGTTCTGGACTCAGATGTATGAGCGCGCCTGCTTCGCAATTGCAAGACACCCCCCGCGCCGATTTGCACGACACCTTTCATATCTACACTTGCCAGTACATGCGCTCGCGCAATACACGGATTACAGCTGCTGGTTTCTATTGGAGCTAGTGTGCGTGTTGCCATCACGTTTGCTCAGCACGTACATGGAAAAGTATTTCCGGGCGTCTGAATTGTCAAGATGCGCACGAAGGGTTACATTTGATTGAGTTTGGACAGAATTTCGTACAAAGGGGTAACCAGATGATGGCACGCCCCCGCGGGTGACTACAGGAGGGAGAGGTGAAGGGAAACGAACCCAGACGAGGGTATCCATCCCACTGCAGTTATTTCCGTTGAGCGTCTCTGTTGGCAGTGGTGGCTAGGTTGCCGAAGCAGGTCAAACACCGCGCGTTCGAAACCAATAGAGAGATGCAGTCCAGGGATGCTCTAAGAGCATTGGGATACTCTTAGAAATTGGGGGGGGCCACACTCGACGCCATCCCCCCTCTTGGAGAGATCCCGTGGAGCTCCAGCGAAGTTCGGAGGAGAGTCTTCCCAACTTGATGGCGCACAGCTTGGGGAGCTTGTACGCGCTGGCCCGAGTCGCGGCTTCTGGCCGCGATGCCCTTCGCCAAAAGCATGCGTGCTTCCCGTTTGGCACTTGTCGTTGCGGGCAGTCGGATTGTGATCGTTGTTTTAATTCATTGCTTTGCCGATCGGCGCGGGCCCTCGCACCCCCTCCTCACCCCCACATGGAGTAGATCTTTAGTATTTTTGGCGCCCGTTTCGAGCAGGTGGAGCCTCCCCCCATACTGGACGCACTGCTGCAAACAGCCGCACTAAGCAGAGGTCGGGAGCCGGAACCCCCCCCTTCCCCGCCGGAACCCCCCCCTTCCCCCCCTTGCGCCTAATGTCGAAACGCCGAAAAAAAACGTTCACATTGCGAGGGCACGCTTTCGAGTTTCGACACGATTCCTTTGAAAGCCGACGGACGTGCCAGGTCATCTCAGCCTCATGGCTGCTCGGCCTCCTCGGTGACGCCGGCCTGCGAGCAGCCGAGCAGGCCCTCGACAGAAACGAGAAACGATCCAGATTGGCAGCCTGGCTTCTCTTCGATCGACCGTTGCTTGCCGAGCTTGTGTGGGCTCGGTTGATCAGGGCGACCATCATCTCCGCCATCTGGACTGAGTGTGCTCCTGAGCGTGTCGACCATTCGCTTAGGGGCTCTCTGACTGGCTCCCCCTCCTCGTCATTGCCCCCCTTCTGCGCAGCCATTTTGACTCAAGTCGTCTGCCGCCCGGGCGGCATTGCGAAGTACGATGGCGAATCTCGGCGAGAAGTTCGATGCTTCTGGCGGCTTCAGTGGCAAGGATGACGGACGCGGCAAGGTACACATCCGCATGCAGCAGCGTAACGGCCGCAAGTCGTGGACGACGGTCCAAGGCTCAGAAGTGATTGATCCGTCGATCGGTGTTCGGTGTTCGGTCATGGGTCGTCGATCGTTATCCTTCCTGGTCTCCTGTTCCTGGCAGACGTGCGCGGCCACGAACACTGGATTGCAGCGCCAAGAACTGCCTGGCGCACCTCACCACAAAGTGATGTGGTCTGCCACCTGATGAACAGAACTGGTATGAACAAATCGTGCGCCTTCTTGTCGCGAGGTGGGCCTGGGGGCCTGTGAGCGCCCTGCAGCCGTGCTTGTCACGGTGGAGCCTTGACGATCGGACAGCTCTGGAGATCCGTCGGGACGGCCAGGCCTTTAATCGGGATCGGGCACCAGATCCGCTTCTGAGTTCGGGGGGGTCTTGAGGTCCAGGGCTTCCCGGAGCAGGTGCGTCTCCCGAAGACCGGCAGGGTTCTGCCCGTGAACTTCGAGAAGATCCTGCAGCACCTCAAGAAGACGTTCAAGACCAACGGCATTCGGGGGGGGCATTCGAAGAAGAAAAAATTGCATTAACATAAATTTGTTGGGGGGCCAGCGCAGATCCAAGATATCCGCGCAGAGCTCCAAAGGTTTATGTTTATGTTGTTTGTTTCTTCTATGGACTGTTTTCGTTTTAGGCAGGACGGGGGAATTAGGATAAGGAGAAATGCCCCCGAGCAGTGCTTGCATGGAGTCTGTATTTTTTGTCTACGGGAGCTGAGCCTGGGTGCGGTCTGGCGACCACGCTGTCGCCGTCGCCGCCCCGTCGCTGCCTCATCGCCGCCCGTCGTCTGGGCCTGGGTGCCCATAAATTGCTCCACATAGAATGCATCACAGAGTTTGCATCACACAGGTTGCACCACGTAGATAGCACAGCATACATTGCACCACATCGATTGCACAAGATGAACTACACCACATAGCGTGGTTAAAAGATTGCACCACAGAGATTGCACCACATAGATTGCACCTCATATATCGCCCCACATAGATTGCATCACATAGATTGCACAGCACACATTGCACACAATAGATTGCACAAGATAGAGTTCGCAAGATAGGTCACACCACCTAGTTTGGTCCCCATAGATCGGACCACATAGATTGCACAACATAGGTTGCTCCACATAGCTTGCACCCCATAGATAGGACCACATGGACCGCACCACATAGATTGCTTCACATATATTGCACCACCTAGATTGCTTCACATAGATTGCACCACCTAGATTGTACCACATAGGGTGCACAACATAGATTGCACCACCTAGAGTGATCCACATAGGGCTGACCACACAGATTGCACCACCTAGACAACATCAATCCCACAACATGGATTCTCCTTTCTACAAGGAGAATAGAGTCTACCCCCCCCCCCGGACTTATCCTTTCCCCTTTCGGATATGTAAATCATACATGATTCTGACCACTCGTCCATCCTAAATATGAAATCACACCATCCCAGGCAGGCCGGGTTCCCCCCCCTGAGGTTCCCTTGTAAAAAACACTATGCGGTGACATTTTTGGTTCTAGCATAACACTTGTTCACGAATCCCTTGCAAAAAATTGGACGAAGTGCACACGCGCGCGTCGTCGCGCGCGCATGCCGAAATCCTTCAAAAACCTTCGGTGCCGGAAGGATTTCGCAATCGAGTTTCCAAGAAAAACATACAAAAACACAGGGTTTCGCAACATTGATTTGCTAAAAAAGCTTCCGCGCGAGCTCTTGCGAAATCTTAAAAAACCATAGGTTGTTCAAGATTCCCTACCTAGGCTCTGCCTAGAAGGGTTCTTACTCTGTTAGCTAAAGGGGCTGGGCAATGGAAACCGCCCCGGGCGGTTCCCCCAGTCCCCGCCCCGCGGTTCCCCCAGTCCCCTGGGAGCTTTAGCCTTAGCTTTAGCTTTAGCTTAGCTTTAGCTTTAGCTTTAGCTTTAGCTTAGCTTTAGCTTAGCGTTAGCTTGGTGTTAGTTTAGCTTTAGCTTAGCTTTAGCTTACTGTTAGCTTAGCTTTAGCTTAGCTTTAGCTTTAGCTTTAGCTTAGCTTTAGCTTAGCTTCAGCTTAGCTTCAGCTTAGTGTTAGCTTAGCTTTAGCTTAGTGTTAGCTTAGCGTTAGCTTAGCTGCAGCTTAGCTTTAGCTTAGCTTTAGTTTAGCTTTAGCTTAGCTTTAGCTTAGCTTTAGCTTAGCTTTAGCTTAGCTTCAGCTTAGCGTCAGCTTAGCTTCAGCTTATTGTTAGCTTAGCCTTAGCTTAGCTTTAGCTTAGCTTTAGTTTAGCTGTAGCTTAGCTTCAGATTAGTGTTAGCTTAGCTTTAGCTTAGCTTTAGCTTAGCTTTAGCTTAGCTTTAGCTTAGCTTTAGCTTAGCTTTAGCTTAGCTTTAGCTTAGCTTTAGCTTTAGCTTAGCTTTAGCTTAGCTTTAGCTTAGCTTTAGCTTAGCTTTAGCTTAGCTTCAGCTTAGCTTTACCTTAGCCTTAGCTTAGCTTTAGCTTAGCTTTCGCTTAGCTTTAGCTTAGCTTTAGCTTAGCTTTAGCTTAGCTTTAGCTTAGCTTTAGCTTAGCTGTAGCTTTAGCTTTAGCTTAGCTTTAGCTTAGCTTCAGTTTAGCTTCAGTTTATCTTGAGCTTAGCTTTAGCTTAGTGTTAGCTTAGCCTTAGCTTTAGCTTAGCTTCAGTTTAGCTTCAGTTTATCTTTAGCTTAGCTTTAGCTTAGTGTTAGCTTAGCCTTAGATTTAGCTTAGCTTCAGCTTAGCTTTAGCTTAGCTTTAGCTTAGCTGTAGCTTAGCTTTAGCTTAGCTTTACTGTTACTACTAATGCTGCTTTCCTAGGTGCTCCAACTCCTAGGTAGTGTCGCACTGGGATAATTTTCACACAATGCTACCAAACGGGCATGTCGAAATCTGTCGAACGCCCTTGCGCGTGTGCCGTCGCGAGAATCCTCTGCAAAAAATGGGACGAAGTGCAGACGCGCGCGTCGTCGCGGGCGTATGCCGAAAACCTTCAAAACCCATCGGTTTCGGAAGGATTTCAAAATCGTGCGTCCAAAAAACCTACAAAAACCTGAGGTTTCGCAACACGGATTTTCAACAAAAGCGTGCGCGCGCGCTCTTGCGTCGTCGTCGTCGTCGTCGCCGTCCTCCCTCCTCCCGCGTCGTCGTCGTCGTCGCCTACGTCGTCCTCTGTCTTTTCTCGTGTTCGTCGTCGTCGTCCTCTTTGGCGTCGTGGTCGTTTCCGTCGTCGTTGTCGCCGTGGTCGTCCGTCCTCGTCCCACGTCGTCGTCGTCGTCCGTCGTCGGCGTCTCGTCGTCGGTTCTATTTCGTCACCGTCGTCGTCGTCGTCGTTGTCGTCGTCGTCTTCCTCCTCCCTCGTCGTTGTCGTCGTCGGCGTCGCCGTCCTTCCTCCTTCGTCGTCGTTCGCGTCGTCGCAGTCCTCCCTCCTCCCTCGTCGTTGTCGTCGTTGTTGTCGTTGTCGCCGTCGTCGTCCTTCCTCCTCCCTCGTCGTCGCCTTCGTTGGCGTCATCGTCTTCGCCGTCGTCGGCGTCGGCGTCGTTGTCGTCGTCGAAGTCGTCGGAGACGTCGTCGGTGTCGTCGTCGTCGTTGTCGTCGGTGTCGTCGTAGTCGGTCTTAAGAGGTGTTGCAAACCAAGTTGCGGGTGGGAGGGTGGGATGTTTGCGCGAGCAGTGGAGAGAACAGCTTCAAGTTGAGCAAGTGATTAATTGCACCACATAGATTGCACCATGTATGTAGCACCACATAGATTGCTCCAGATAAGATTGCACCACATAGCTTGCACCACAAATTTTGCACCACGTCGATTGCACCACCTAGATTGCTTCACATAGATTGGACCATATCGATTGTACAACGCATATTGCTAGAATCACACTGCTCGGGGTCCACGGTGGCTAACATAACATGCATGGCATGGTCATATCTTGCGATCTGCCAGAGATGAAAACAACAATTTGTACACGTACGCATTTGAAAAAATGCACA